CGGCCGACAAACTGCTTAATTATGTTTAAATGATTCGAATGAGCTGCATTTTTGGCATGCTTCGCTTTCGTGTCTCGCTTTTTGTAGCTGTGTATCTGTGTGTGTTTGTGTGTGTCTGTGTGTGTTTGTGTGTGTTTGTGTGTATGCACGTTTATCTTGTCGCTAACTTGTTGACTGACAGCTCGGACAGACTGACAGGGCGATCAAATCATGCATGTTGCATGCATTGCACTTGTCTTGTGGCATTTTGTTTGCTGTCTCTTTTGATTAGCAAATGATGATGACGATGGCAATGTTGATTGCAATCAGGAAGCCGCACAAAAAAAAAAAAATAATAATAAATAAAAATATGTCAATTGTGCCTCAAACAATCCAGTTGAGTTTTTGGGGCCAATGTAAATTTAATCATTAGTTTGCCTTATAAAGAGTACGCATAAGAATCCAGTCAATAATCAGTGGAATGTCGCCCGTTGATGATCGCTACAGGAAATCCAAAAACATGCATTCAAATTAACATTCATGTTTGGCTAAATTAGTTCAATTAGCTTCAATTCAGCGAACATATTTTTTCACACACATGTATTGAGACTATTAGATATTGTAACGTTTTTATTAAGCCTGGCTTAGTTGTGCTTTTTATTTTACTCCAATACTAATCGGCTTATGCTTCATTTTAATAACCTGATTTCACTATTAGCATTGCTTACATTCAGAAATGTGTACAGTGTGTACATTGAACATTCGTAAAGAATGTTTATTGAATTTCGTGGAAAGTATGATAATGTTGCTTATCTTGAAATACAATTAAATTTATGCTAATATCAAAATAAAAATAAAATTCTTTGAAAGTGGAATCAGGCTTGTAGTCAATCAAAAACTTATTGTCGTTGTTCAGTTGTAAGTATATATATTTGCAACCATTACATTTATCGAGCCAATGTAATCTTTTGACAATCTTTGCGTAGTCGTTAATGTTTACTAAATAGTTCCTTGTTGAAATTCGTTTATTTCCTCAGTTAATCACTCAACAACAGACTGATCAATCCATGATTCATTACGAATCGTTAAAATCTAAAGTGCTGAGTCATTAGCAAACTTATTTCCATATATATAAATATATATATATATATATGTAAGCTTATTTAGATTGGATTTAATTGGCTAGCAATGCAAAATAGACGAATTAAAAATCAGTTGAACACTCGATCGTTGTGTGGAATACGCATATATATATATATATACAATATCAATAAATTCCACACTTTTCCCATACATTTGCATATCCACTCCCTGGCAACCCCTTGACATATCATGATTAATTTGTTTACATCGCCAAAAACTACCCAATATGGTTGCAACATATGTTGTGTGCTTTCCAGCTGCCGGTCAATCATGCTTCCATATTTGTCATGGGGGTCTTATCAGTGTGGCATGAATGAACTCACGATCGATTGATGTTAATACCCTCGATTGGGTAGCGTTGACATTCCAAGGCGCCTTCCACATTTTATTGACGGAACAATGGACAATAAGTGAGGGGGGATGACGACTGTATTTATAAATGTTTTCATAATACTTATTTAAGTTAAGAACCTGTTTCCATTGGCATTGCCACACTCGCTCACGGAATGAAGAAGCTGAGGGGGCGAATGCGGGGCGAGAGCATCATTTAAATGACAATAACAGTATAAAATCATTTAAAATATTACGTATATGCCACACAGCCAGTTTGTGTTTATTATTTATGTGCTCGAGATGAAAACAAATTGCACGCGTAATTGCGCTTAAGTGGCCCGAAAGCGCCGCAGATTGGCCATCTAGATATATATATCTCTCTCTCTCTATATATATATAGATATATTTATTGAAAAGCAATGGAGCACTGATGGAACGCAACGTTTCCCATATTTTGTTTGAGTGGCCTGTCAATTGTTCTATAAATAAGGCGTCAATTCCTACGCTTTTGAGTCAATTGCTTTCATTTCTCACTGTTTTGCAACACTTTTCCTTTTATACAACATGTGTTTATTTTTATACCCTGAACACATGGAAATTTGATAAGCAGGGTATAAAGGAGATGTGCTAATCTAAGTGACAGGCAGAGGGAAGCATCTCCAAGCACATAAAGTATAGATATTCATATTATCGAATATAGATGCAAATGAATTCCCGATAACAATAAAAAAAATCACAATTCTAAAGATGTAGCTTTTTATTAGCAATAAATTAATTAACAATACATTTTTCATCAAGATAGAATAAGAAACACCCATTTTTTTTTCGCCAAAACATATTTTCAGGTTAAAGCAACAGACAGTTGACTTCAGGGTATCTGCTAGTCGAGGTTTCTCATTATTCAACTTGTTTTTCTTTTTCGGCCTCTTGGCAGATATTTTCGTATTGTTCTTTAGTTTTATTTTAGCTTTTTTTTGCGCCCAATTACGCGCTTTAATTGCCCGTCTACCTACGACAGAGTAGGGGGCGTCCCCTATGCCCAATGCCACACATTTGCCATTGTGTTCAAGTGTTTGTATTTTTATTATTATTTACTCGTTTTTCACACTTTTCGCATTGTTTGTCGGGCTTGGCATACAAATCGAGCATTAATCCGCTGTGCGATCATAAAAATGCTAATTTAGATTTAATTCGATCGTTTTGCATAGCTGTTTAGTTTCAATGACCGATCGCTATTTGGCATACAGCTGATAATAGATAATGGCTGGATAAATATGTCAATTGGTTAGAAATGACAAATGATCGTTGTGTGTGCAAAACTACCTAATTTTTCGAGTTTTTCAGTAACTTATATCCCATAACAAATAAATCACAAATTGTGTTCCAATTAATAAATCAGTCAAAAGCTTTTTAGGTTTCCCAAAATTATATATATAGTCATAAAGTCTAAAGAATATTACTAAAGTGAAGACTCATAGACTTTAAGTCAACCCTGCACATAAAGCCTAAAACAAATATTTGAAACGATATACTGATTAATAAATCAAGCAAAACTACGATATATTTGAAAATTTTTTAGAGCGTTTCTTAAAGCATAAGTTATATTATTTAAAGTCTAATTAATATTACTAAGCACAGCACTTTTAGATTATAAATTTATACAAATATAAAACACTAATCCTAAAACAAATATATCAGAAATTATATTTCAATTAAAAAATCAATCAAGTCCAAAGGATAATACTAAGCTTATCACTTGCACGTAAAGATCCAGATTCAACAAGTTTGTTTATTTTTAAATAAAATAATAGTTGGTACATAAACAACACGTTTTCCGAGTGGCTGACAAGACCAAAATTAAATATTATTTTTTGCAAGCAGCTGTTCTTTTATATTTCGAAGTGATCTTCAACTAGCTAAGTGGCAACTTTCAATGTTTTAACACCTACGCAAACGACTTTGAAGTAAAGTGGACACACTGAACAAAAGAGGTTGTATATTAAATAATTGCGGAGTGAACAATAATCGTGAGTCAGAGAGAATATTGTTATTTATTGAATATTTTGCTCAGTGCATTATCAACGATGAGACTTCAAGTGAACTTCAAACTCCTCAGCGTGTTCTGCACTTGAATACATGTGGATCAAAGCAACTATGCATGCCAGCTGTTGATGCTTCTTCGTCGTCTTCTTCTTCTTGCCACTGTTCGTGGCAAGCTGATTATACGACTGAAACTGATAGTTGATACTGCGTTCCCCCTGGTTGTGTTATTATTGTTTTTGTTATTGTTTGTTAGCATCTTCGCATCGTTTCTCAGTTTGCCAGCCCACACGGGGAATTTTTCTCAAAAAAAAAAAAAATTAAAAAAAACCTGATTGCTAATCGATGATAGTTCACCTTTGCCGTGTTTATTTTTTCTGGCGTATTTTTAGACTTTTCATTTCATTCGAGCTGAACTGAACTGAATTGAATTATTGTCTAAGCGTAGCCAAAATCAACAGCAAAACAAACAGGCCGACACAGAAATATGTCAAGAGTTGTCTGTGCCAGTTTCTCCGCTGCGTTCTTGGCATTTTGGACTCTTTATACGCATTAATGTCTAATAACAAATACAACATACACAAAACGAGAATCGACGTATCAAAATAAAAAATCCAAAAATAAATAAAATCAAATTCAGAACATAAAAAAACAAAACTCGCACTCTTATCGTGAAAGACATGAGGCGTGGCAGTCATTTAGCGGCAATAGAGACATTCGAATAGCGGCCAACTCATGTAATTTTTGGATATCTTTTTGAATACCCTTTAGCTAGATAGACTCAGTGGGTGGTTTGCTGGGTGGTTTTGTGTACCTAACAAAATAATATTATTGGGATACGTTCTTAAGTGCTATTTTTGACCACGAACCTCGAATGAAAAACATGTTTCCAAATTTAAATATAAAATTAATCTAAAGGCCAAGCCCTGCTTTTGAAAATCGCTTCAGATTTTCAGTTATGGCAGTCTGAAAATGACGACCCCTTCTGCGTGTGTAGCGAATCGTGTTTTCAAATGAGCAGAGTATCTTTTAGTCCAGCACTCGTTTTTTAAGGTTTCCTGTTTGTCACTTACAGAAAAAAAAAAAAAATTATAAAATAAATAAAAACTGCGTATAAAGATAATATTTTTGTTTCTTGGAAACTGTAAACAGCTGCTGCTAATTTGTGTGGGTGGACATATTTAGCATGTTTAAAGCACAGCGATTGTTTTGAATTTGGGTTGGGTTCAGGTTGGTGATATTGACTTGGCCAGGGGTGTGGCGGGTAGGAGAGCAAAACTGTGTTTTGTGTCAACAGGCAACAGGCAATTGAGTGAACAATAATTCAAAAGCCTGTCCAGATTGAAGGCAATTCAATTAACAAGTTGCTTTTTTTTTGTTGTATTTGCTTATCTCCAATGCCGTAAATCAGCTGCGATGACTGTTGATTAGCTGCCGATAAGATTTATGCACTTATAACTAATAATCCCGTGCCTTTTCTCTCTCTCTCTCTCTCTTAATTGCAGGTGTGCGTTTAACCCACTGAGCGAATTCCACGTGGCGGCGGTTCTTAAAGAAAGCCGCCTGGATGCGTTTTTGCTTTGATCGGCTGTGTTTCGCAACCAAGCGGCCAGCCAATAACAATAGCAACAGCCACCAACACAACCAACCACACAGCGGCACCAATGAGCCGTGCAGCAGCAACAGTGACACCACCGCAATCACCGCACCACCACCAGCACCACCCGTCAATGTCTATGCCGAATACCAGAAGCTGCAGCCAGCGATAATCAGCAGAGACGACACCGAGGCCAAGCCGCCGGACATCTCAGAGAACAGTCGCGAACAGCCGCCAACAGCACAAACACAAACACAAACACAAGCACCACCCAGCACCACCACCACCACCACCACCAGCATCAGCACCAACACCACCACAACCTCAACGAGCAGTGTAAACATCGCAAAGCATCGCTATCGGCGCCATAGCAGCGCCGAAGATCAGCCGAAGATTCTGATTCCGATTCCGAGAGCGAATTCGAATACGAATTTGCGCAAAGCGGTCAGCATGCAGCAGGAGCCGAATGCCAACTATCAGTTTCAGCCCGACCTGGGTCTGGTGAACATCGTCAACAACAATAACAACAATAATAATAATATTAATAATAATAGCTTTGCTCAGAGCAGTGGCGGCATCGTACAGCTGCCCGTTGGCTATCTCGGTTTGGAGCAGACAGCGGCGGGTCTGCGCCTGATACCCGCCCCCGCGCCACCCTGCCATACGGATTTGCTGACGCATACGCTGATCTACGGCACACTGCCATCGGGTACACCACAGCACACAGATCAACGCAGTCTGCTGCATCAGCAGGAGCTGGTGCTGCAGCAGCGCTATCAGCAATTGCAACAGTTGCAGGCACAGACACAGGGCATCTATACCGCATCCGGTAGTCCAGTGCCGGTGCACTATCAGCCGACGCCGACCAGTCAGCCGGTGGCCATACCTGGCGCCTGTCACTCGCCCACCACTCAGCAACAGCAACTACAGCAGCAACAGCTACAGCAGCAGCAGCAACAGCAACAGCTACAGCAGCAGCAGCAGCAGCTGCCACCCACTTCTTTGGCGCTGGCACAACATATGCAGGGTTTGCGGATTTCTGGCTGTACGCCGGGCAGCAGCTCGGCCACACCCTCGCCGGTGGGCATGGCCGATGCAACGCTTATGCTGGGCAATGCCTATGTGGCGGCCACACAGCAGGAGGAGCGCTTCATCCAAATCATCCAGGCAAAGGAGTTAAAAATCCAGGAGATGCAGCGAGCCCTGCAGTTTAAAGACAACGAAATTGCCGAACTGCGCTCGCACCTGGACAAATTCCAGAGTGTCTTCCCCTTCAGCCGGAGCAGCGCTGCCGGTTCAACTTCACCCAACGCTGGCAACGGATCTGCTGCCGGAGCGGGTCCAAATTCGGCAACGGGTGCCACACGGAAGTCGGGGCAAACGTTTCAGCGGCAACGTGCTCAGGGCATCTCTGCTGAGCCGCAAAGTGAAACCATGGTGCTCCTCGAGCATGTCAGCCTGCCCAAATACGAAAAGGATGAACGGTGAGTCAAATTTCTAAAATTCAAATTAATTAATTCGGTTTATACGTGAGCAATAGTGGAAAGTTAATTTGAAACTTAAAAGTCATAAATTGTTAGCTGAGAAAATTAGTTAAATTGTTGTAAAATTCTCTTAAAACATTATGAGAAACATTTATAGGTCGACTTGGAATATTACTAGATAAACTTTACAATTTTTAATATATCAAAAATTTCTCTAGAATGCCTTGTTTTTATTGAATTCCTTACAAAACTATTCCAAAGCATCTGTTAGGTCTTTCGAATATTATTTATAATAAAAATTTAAGAAGCGCTAGCTAATTATCAATAGGCAAAATGTTTACAAATCTTGAATAATGTGGTGCTTGAATGTTACTTTAAAACCCTCCTTCTTCTTCTGATCTATATTTAATTCTTTACAAAACTAACTCTTAGCAAGAAGTACGATTTTTGGATTCGTTACCTTCGACTATTATTCAAATTAAAGGTCAAAGAAACACTTGCTAATTATCAATGGCAACATGGCTTGAATAAACTTTGAATTAAATAATGTTTATATTGCTCATTATAAAAACTAAGTCAAATCATCTGTAAGGTTTTTCCTCTCCGTTACACCGATCTCCCCCAGCAATTGTATATAGTATTTTAAGTGATATTGAAATTTGGAACAATACTGATTACAGCGAGTGAAAGATCAGCCAGCGCTTCTCCTAGCTATAGATTAGCTGTGTATTATGACTATATATATATGTATATATACATTACACACTTATATACATAGTCGGCTGTGCCGATAATGATCATCATTAGCGTCGCATTGCGGCGATCTTAATCTGAATATGAGCAGCGCCTTTCGACTGCCCCAAAATGCGTTAATTCAAATTGTGCTGACAGTCGCAGGGGTTCACAGTCCCCCAGCGCCCACAAATCAAACCAAATGGCCTTGGGCAGTGTCATATACCATATGTATATATATATATAGTACTATATATATGCAGTGTCGCACACGATTTAATTGCGTCATGTGGCAACATTTTGATTTTTTAACTATTTATTTAGACAAATTTTCAAGGGAGCAGAATTGTCCCCATTTTTGTTACAAGTTCATTAAAAGTAAATTTATTTATTCATTACAACGAATATTGTCTGCCCTTTAAAACATAATGGATTCAAATTCATTTTGAAAAACAGATTCTGAAAAAAACAATAATTATCAATAACGGTTTATTGTTTAATGTCCTCTTTTTATTATTTCGCTGGTCAAGTATTTTTCATTTTTTATATATTTAAAATCCCGTCAGAAGGAAAGAAATTTAAAGATGTTTCATTAAGGTATTTGCCTAATACGATTATCTACTATTTATATACATATGTTTATCGGCTAGCTAAATTCAATATATGGCCAAACAAACTCTCTTGTCCAGGTTTCGAGAGATATGTGCAAATACGTGGGCGAATTTTGTTTTAGTGTATTTGTTTTTATTTGTTTTTCTGATCTGCACTGATCTTTTGGGCCAATGTTTTTCACACTTGGCGGCTGTCTGGATGCTGGTCTGGTCCAGTGCTTTTCCCCTGTGTGCTTTTCCGCAAATCTGCTTGCCTTCTTTAACATTGTTTGCTTTGAAAACAGAAATATGTATTTTTTCATTTTTATTTTAGTTTTTTTTGTTCTGCGCATCGATATTTCCTGTATCATTTCAGCAGCGAGGGTCGAGAACATTTTTTTGCTGGCTACATGTGCGGCCAATTGGCTGTTAATAATTATTATATTGCTGTTATAGGGAAACTTTCGATATTGTTAAGATCTTCTAATTGTTGGTGTCAATTTAACATATTTTGTTGAAAACTTGCATTTGCCAATTCGTTGTCAAAGAGTGGCTACATTGAAGCCCTTGATTTTAATCGGATTCTTCTTCCTCTAGAAATGTTTTAGTTTTACTACTCTTTATTTTTGATCTATTTGGGTTGCTCCCCAACTTTTTTTATTTTATTATTTTCCTTTTAATTTAAAGTTAAATATGATATTTTTTTTAATAACTTAATTGATTCTTTTTAATTATATTTTTATTTGTTGACTGATATTAGTTGACATTAAATAAATGAATAAAGTAAAACTGCAAATACTCTTCCCATTAAATCAAATGTCATGTTTTGTTTATGTAATTTAAGCATCAATTTTCTACCAAAGTTTCTGACAAAACCGATTGAATCTTAAAAATAAACTCAGAAAATCTTCATTTGGCTGTCTTGCACAGGCCAAGAGCCTTTACGCTTATATTAGTTAGCCAAGTGTTTTTAGTATCTCTTAATAACGACAGTTCGAATTTAGATAATACGTTTTTTATTGATCATCTTGGTTATCTTGGTTAAGAATATGCATTTGCATACGCATATTTGTCTTTGTGTGACAAATGTGCATCTGGCATTAAATAATGCTGCAAATTTGTTAGCTAGACGCAATTTATGCGATTTGGCGTCCAATCGCAAGCTGCTGACACAATCGCAGAAAATCGCGGCAAATTGAAATCCGACTGGCAAAGCGTTGTCAACAATTCAGCCTTTTAATGGCCAAATTCAATGCGACAAAAGGGGTCGTGGGGCGGCGGTAGGCGGCGGTTGGCGGGGGCGAAGGCGGCTGGCAACTGGCAACTGGACGACCAGTTGACCAATTCGGCTGTGCACTCTATCTATGACTACAATCTGTGCCATTGGCAACGCGTATGTGCAACAGGACATTTTTTGACACTTGCATGGCATAAATCAAATGCGCCGCGGGCCTTTGCTACGTGCCACATGCACTCGACTCTCGCCTCTCAACACGACTGACCGAACATTGGCTGGACAAGCCAAGCTGCAGCAGATCGGGGCATTCCACTCCAAGTGGTCTTTGAGGCCATTTGCACGCCGTTGTTAATGCCGCATTGTGACCATCTAATAAATAATGCCAGCAAATTGTGCGAAATTGTGTCAACTCTGGTGCATGCGTGTGTGTGTGTGAGTGTGTGTGTGTGTGTGTGTGTGTGTGTGTGTCCCAGTGGGTCGTATAAGAGCTTGCTGCAAAAGCAAGCTCAAAGATGGCCAAGAGAGACGCTTAGATAAATGCAGTGATCACTTTTGCAAATCAAAATTCATAAAACCATTTTTGAAAATTTATGAATTCGAAAAATTTGATGGAAAAACCATTAGAATGAATTTTAATGATAGCAATTAAGTTGACACGAAATTGGCGGAATATTAAATGGCAAATTGTAATAAACAAAATTTTAGTAAATTAAAAGAAATGGCAAGTTGTAATAAAACGAAATTTAAGTAATAGGCAATCAAAAACATTTATAGCCAGATTTAACATTTTGTGTTTTAATTACATTTTTGATCTGGCAGATTAAAGCAAGCACTTTTCTTGACCATTTTAATGGCGCATTAAAGCGTATTCAGTAGCGCCCGATTAGGAGACTCGTTGTGCCTGGATCCCAAGTCATTAACGTCTTTATTCATCTTGTGCGTACCAATTATTAATAGTCTAAAATAAAATTTATAAATAAATGTATAAATTTTGAATAAGTGCATACACCTTTTAGGTATGCTATAGAATTTATATAAATTAAGGGCACACAATGTTGAACATGTTGCTAAACAAAATGTTTTTTTAAATCAAATAAGCCAAGTCAAAATTGTGAGATATATAAGATATTGCTTAGCAAATACCTTATCTTGTTTAGATCTGCTGGAAATGGTTTTGCTTTTGTTTATCTCGAATATATATATGAACAATAGGGTAATAGATATGTTTTCCTTAAAGATTTTTAGGCATTTGTAAACTCTAGAACCATTAAAAATGGGATAAGTTGTGCAGAAGTATGCAACAGGCAAAGAAAGTATCTCCAATCCCATAAAGTATATATATTCTTGATCTGGGTCAAAAGCAGAATTGATTCAGGTCCGTCTGTCCGTCTGTAACCTAGTTGATCTTTTTTGGCTACCGCATTATAACTGGTATCTGTTTAAATCTCTCTGTTTGTTCGCACAACACATTATCCAGCTCAGTTTTGTAGGTGTTAAATGCAGTTAGACAGATATGCATAAATTGTTGTTAAAAGCTACTTACATATCACGCCTAACTTACAAAAAACCCCTTGAGAAATCTTTATTATCTCACATTACATGCTCATTTATCAAGCTTGTCTCTGGTCTACGTTTATGGTTTCAACTGTTAAGTTGGGGTTATGCCTCATGTCCGACGGTCTTCAACTGCTGCCAATAACTATTTGCACTTTCAATTTAGACTGAATTGTGGCAGCAATGAAACTAAAAGTCAACTTCAAATAATTGAACGCACCCGCAATTCGCAGACTCTGAGATCTCTCCGTGTGCTCTGGAAAAGGTGCAGCTCCGCCACAATGGCGTCTATTTAGTGGATAGGTGTGAGAAGGGGGCTGGGTGCAGAGAGAGAGAGAGAGAAGTGTAACAGCCTTGGCATGCCTTGGCACACATAAAATCAAAATTACCCACAAATATAGTCATATAATGTGGTTAAAGCTTCCGATAGACAACTGGAACACTACCATTGCTGCGAGCACGCCCCACAGGTCTAATTGAAGCTATTAATTGTTTGGCTCGCCCGCGGTGGCATGACCAAAAAGTGGCACCCTGCCACCAACAGCTACGTGCACCGTGGGTAACACAAATTGCACACCATATGCATTTATGCGTGCTGTGCCAATGATAATTTACGCATAACAAATGTTCCATCAACAGGCATGCTGACGACTAAAAGAGTGACCTGTAAAATGTATAGAAATAGTTAAAAATGTATAGCTATATTAAGGATAGGTTTGAAAACTTAAAAGTATTAGTAGTAGTATTTAAAAAGGTGTACTTATGAAATTTAATTGCTTGGATTCAAAATTTTTGATTAGTATTCAACTTTATCTACTTTGTTCAAATGTGTTCATTGATTTTATTTATTAATGTATATGGTTTAAATAATAGATACAAATTTAGTAGTAGTATCTTTTTAAGTAAGTCAGTTCTTAACTAAAATGAACTGTGGTTTACAAAAAGCTCCCTTGAATGTTCTCTTAACATCAATCGTGTTCTTAAGTGTTCCCTTAGTTCTGATAAAATATCCAAAGTATAAATAAATATCATTAAGTTTCATCTGCATATTGAATACATTTTACATGATTTTTCACATACCCTGTTGTGCACCTGATCCGAGGGTATTGTTAACTGTGACTTGTGGCGCTGGTAAAGCGCCCCGGGAGTTGCACCAATGGCATCGCTGCCACAGCTCCACGGCACATGGAACTCCTAAAGTCGAACTCGTTTCGGGTGCCCAAATAAACTATCGGCAGGGGCGATGAAATCTAATACGCATTTTTCTTTCGCACAATATAAAAAGACGGCGACTTTGCAGGAGGCGAAATCAATTTGGTCGCTTCCTAGGCACCAGCAGCAGCTGCAAATGCACCAACGATGGCTACACCGCTAGAAATGTTGTACTAAGATCAAATTAAATAGAACTGCTAATTCAAAAGCTTTTATTATGTTTCCTTTAAGCTTGCTAGTTCAATTAGTTAGGCAAATCGCTTAAAATCTAGTCAACAATTTTTTTCAGTGTACGACTTGGACTTTAACACTGTTGGGTGCATAAGTGTTATGTATCGGGTAGCGGGCTTGTTTCATAAATTTTTATATTTTAATTGTAAGTGTTGTGTCTGCAAAAAATTCGAGTACTTGCCAAACTTGCAACACAGCTTGTTCCCTGGCTGAACTCATCAGCGACCACGTCGTGCTTAGATAGCGGAAACTCCAAACTCTAACTCTGAGCATGTGCAACGTGCAACGTGCAACGTTGGCAAATGTAACAAATTGGGTGCCCACAGATCGGAGCCACCTCGACGACGACGACAGGCGGGTTACGCCCGATATAAAAGATAGAGTTGGCTTTAATTAATCGACCCAAGTCAGTTTAGCTGGCTGCCTGACTTGGTTGCTTGTCAAATTCGCTGACAGATAAAGTCATTTGACATTTACATTGCATTGGCAATATGGCATGGCTACAGTTAACCCTACCCACCCTCCCATCCAATCCGCAGCCCGAAAACAATTTTCAAATTTGTAGCAATTTCATATCATTCAAAAATATTTTTAGTATTCGTACAACGACAGCTACTTGTTGGATTGCTTGTAAGCCAAACTGGCGAACCAGATAAAAATCGATTTATATGTGTCAGTCGTGAAATTAATTGGGCTTTTTTGGCTTTGTCAGCGCTGAGTGCGCAGAATGCTTGTTAAGACCACAAGCTGATCATTTTGGGACCTAACCAATGACAGTTTGTTACCAAATTTGGTGTGACCGTAACTAATCTATTATAATAGGACAAGCAAACAGAAATCGATATATATATTTATATTTATGCATTTATTTCAATTTGCAGCTCCCGTGAACTTATCAAAGCGGCCATTTTGGATAACGATTTCATGAAGAATTTGGACTTGTCGCAAATACGCGAAATTGTCGATTGCATGTATCCAGTTAAATATCCAGCCAAAAATCTAATCATCAAGGAGGGAGATGTCGGCAGCATTGTATATGTTATGGAAGGTGAGCTTTATTACTAAATCTTTATTATTGAATATGGTTTTTATATAGCTCTAGCTTTGTGATGTGTAGATTATGGGGACAAAAAACTCCATAAATTAGTTTTTGTTGGTTTTCTCTTCAATTAGTTGACGTTGGCTTTCTACTCAAATGCTTTAAGCACTTTCTTCATCAACTCAACTTGAATTATAAAAAAAGAGTGTGTTGTACTAAAATATATTATTTTCTGGCTGAATGTCAAGTGTTCCTTATTCTTAAGTCAATCTATTTGGAACCCCGTCGGGATTCGTCTTTAGGAAGAGATTCAAAGCGTCCGTTCAGTCAACTGTTTAGTTTGAAGAATTTACAGAATTTTAAAATTATTTGTTTTGTGAAAATAGTTTAGAAATTTGTGTTACATATATTTTAAAGTTTCATAGGTAATTTTTTTGCAAAGTTATTTTCACAGTTTCAACTCAAAGGGAGCTAGATTGATTTCTTAACTACATTTTATTTTATAAGTGGAATCAAAACTTTTTTTAAATTCAAGTCAAACAATTTTCAGTTAAATGTTACAAAAATTCGTTTAAGATGTTGGCGTTTTTGGTGAAATCTGCAAAACAGCTTAAGCAGAAGGTTGTCTTCAAGTTTTTAATTTTGCTCAGACGTTTTCATTTAACCGAAACAAGATCTGTTCATATGGGTGCGTTTTTTATTATATATTATTTTATTTCTTATATATTTGTTTTAATTTAATATTTATATATGTGAAAATTGTTTACCCTTTCAAATGAATTGACCCTCTGGTTGACTGTGCTTCTAAGTATGCAATAGTTTATCTCAAGTGATGTTGCATCACTTTCCCGAGCAGCCCGTAGGTATGCAACTCTTTGTAACTTGCCTCAACTGTTGCTGCATGCTGTATTTTGAACACACTCCTCACTTCATTTCGGCTGTCTGTGTCTATCTGACGCCCACGGCTGTCGCTGTCGCAGTTCCGTCTCCTGATCGTGCCACTCGCCGTTGCAGATAAGTAGCGCCTACTTCTGCTGCCGAACTCAGCACATGCACAGCTGTGGCATCGATTTTCTTGCCTCTTGTCTGCTATGTGCTTTATGTTGCCAGTTGGCTGTGCCCTCCCAACAATGCGCATGCGTTGTTGGTTGCACCCACACACAATCCGGCGAAAAGTTCACAAGTTTGCATACCAGCGAAATGTCAGCGGCTGCACAGCTGCTCCTAAACATAGTCATTCGATTTTCCTTTCGACTTTGATACTCAGTGCGCCAGGCTAACAAAGAGCATATTGCTTATATGTATATATTGATCGTTGAAGCTAGAAACTCTAAGCTTGGCATATTAACTTGTGTGATTCTTGTAACTTTACTTTCTTCAAAAACGTTTTAAAATTTATTTATTTGAGTACATATATTCTGAGGATACGTTGGTTACTTAAAATGTTTTGTAACTAAATATGTCGAAATTTCCATTTCCATATTATTATAATTTAAGTATTTCACTCATTTCCAAAACTATTCCCTAATTATTACTTTAGTCCAGATACAGGGAATCTTGCCGTCGTTGCACTCAAGTTCAGTGTCATTCTTACATGCTTGTTAATGTTTCTGGGTGTGCTTGTATCTAATTGTTGTTTTAAATAATTCCACGGCATAGCTTCATTTTTTTTAGATTCAAACCTAGGATTGGCATTTGTTGTTGTTGTTGTTCATTTCGTGACCGACTTAATTTAACATTTAATTGAGACAGCTGACGAGCTAATTGCATTATGCACAAATTAAAAACTTGAAGACGACGCGCCAAATTCGAAGAAGAAGAAAGTTTTAGCTATGCTTCCTCATCAAAAACGAAACTCAGCGATGCATCATTATGATGATGATGATGATGATGATGATCATGCAACGTCGCCGACAGTTGCTTCCTTAATCTGTGCAACCTCCGCACTTGAAAGTCGGCTGCATCAACTACGTTTGCTCCTAGGCCCGCTACCCGTTTATGGGGAGCCGAAAGAAAAAGAAACACAGATGTCATGGCAGCTGTTGTTGCTGCAGGCTATACACTCGCATGCACACATATAAAAGAGAGAGAGAGAGAGAGAGAGAGAGAGAGAGAGAGAGAGAGAGGGAGAGAGAGAAAGAAACAGGCAGAGAGGTAGAGAGCGGTTGAAACTCTCATCTTACATGATCGCAGAAACAGATGTGCAAAAATCACGAGGGTCGGCCATGCGAGTGAATCAAATACGCTGCATTCGAATGAATGAATGAATGGTACTGATAACCAAGTACTCGTACTTGTGACAGTTGCGGCTCATACAGTAATACCGCGATAAGGAAGTCAGCACATTTACGTACATTAAACACTAAGATAAGGAATTCGAATAGAGACATATATTGGAACTGATTAAAATAAAGGTCAATGTGTTTGCGTCTATTTAAACATCAACGCAAATAGAATCAGATGATTTCGAAGCAGTGCTTTCGTTTTGATATCAAATAAACAGAAACTTACCGAATAAAAATAAAAAAAAGTAAAGAATATAAATACCAAATTATTATAGATGAGAATGAATTCATATTATATTTATTATTAAATATTGTGTTTACCGATTAGTAACATAATATGATCTAGAACTATTTCTGTTTACTTACCAATGCTATACTAAATGTATATACTTTGCTGATAATACAATCAAATATAAATAGCTTATGGGGCATTTAAGTGCTAAATGAAGGAAATACAAAGACAAAAAAAGGTTATTCAAAAATGATGAGTAGCTGATCAGCGGATCGATCTTGTCTCATGTACTCAACGCACTTGTTTCCGCTTGCGTTTTACCTAAATATGGAAATGTGTGTGTGTGTGTGTGTGTGAGACGATTGTCTCTCTCCACAGTGCGTACACGTTTTCTGCCATATGCGATTCTCACTCCCCCTCTCACCTTCAATTGGATTGCGTCGCTCAGCTGTGCTGCTGTCTGCTGCTGCGGTGCTGATCTCTCCCACATCCCAATTAGCCTCTCTCTCTCTCTTCAAGTCTGTCTCTCTCGATATTGCGCGCTGGCTGCTTGAATCACAACAGCAATCATTCGTTCAGCAGCCAGCGTAGCAAGTAAACGTGCGAGGCGCATGCGCGCTCGGCCTGCAAAACAATTTACAACAACAGCAAACAACTCGTGTTTTGTTGTCGTGCGTGAGTCGCGTTCGTGACGCTTGCAGTTTTTTGTTTTTGCATACTGCATGCACGCTTCGTCGCGCGTGGAATATTACAAAAACAACAAAAGACCATAATAAAAGAGGGCCATATCAACAAAAGTAGAAAAAATAAATATATATAAATACACATATTACACACACACACACGCACCGACAATTACAATGCCTTTAAAATCTTTTTTGCGCTATTTTAAACAAGACAATTACATAAACACACAAACATTTTGTTCGTTTTCGTTGTTTTGTGCTCCCCATTCTAAAATGTGCCACAACAAGCGAACGATTTTCCCCATGTGGTGTTTACGCCACCAAATCGAAACCCGGCTATAAACCAGAAATTATGTAGAAAAGCCAACGAGAAGCAATGCGGTTTCTACGAATTCGCTTTTGGCTTGAAGAATTCTTGAAAAGCGACAACAACAAACTAAAAACAAAAGTGAAAGTGTATTTTGTACTCGGATTCAAAACAAATAAAGCAACTTCTGTTTGTTGCATTCCGTGGGCGTGCCAAATTAAATGACTGCTCATAGATCTCCACACAGAGAACGGAGAGGTGTTGACAAAGGGGAAGGGGGCAACAACAGCTGGAGTTACAGTACATTTACTCTTTACATATATATATATATATATATATTTATTTTTTTATTTTTGTGTCGATTGAACGCAAAAGATCACTTGAAGAATTCCGGTTTTTGTGGTTTTTCACAGTTGTTGTTGTTGCTGCTGTTATTGCTGTTATTGCTGTTATTGCTGCTTGCTGCTGCTATTTGTTTCATGTTGTCTGTCTGCCCTCTCGCATTTGGCGCATTTGTATTTTGTCGGTCATTGGTCCGCAAAAGTGTAGACAAAAACGAATTACAAAAATGCCAAATGTCGCTGCGAACCAAAAACCGAAAACCAAAAAGCTTAAAGCCCGAAATAAAAACAAAAAAAAACCGTAACTTAACTCTGGCCAACAAACAATAAAATTGATATACTCGCTAAGATAATGGACACTGAGCACTGAGTGCTGAGTACCGAGTACAACGATATAAAGACGATTCGTGCAAGAATGTGAAGCGACAAGTAAATTGGATTTTGCAACACATTATTTAGATGAAGAAATGCGGAAGACGTGGCCAGCATTTCATAAATCTGAGTGCCAAAGCAAAACATATCAAAATTAAATCCAACATTAAAATAGAAATCGTGCGAAAGCCAAAGACAATCAGAGCTCCTCCCACCCGAGATGACGAAAAAGAAATCAAGAAAGAATCGTCCATCGAGTGTGGGTCGATGATTGAATACCCTGGCAGACATGAGACGAGAACAGCATTTATGACTCATCATTTCAATGCTAAGCAAAGCGATTCCAAAGATCAATCTGAAAATTCATCAAGATAGCTGAAAAAAAAAATAAAATGTTTGTGGGGTCAAAAAAGTCTCTCTTTAATGTCTGACACAATGCCTGATAAAATTATAAGACTCAACGCGAGTGTATAACAAAACTGCAAAGAGCGAAAAACACAAAGAGACAAAACAACAAAACAAGAAAACAAGAAAAGTGTGTTAATGTCGTGCGTTTTGTTACGTTCGGATTCGGATTCTGTGTTGTGGCCCATTTGACTTCTTTGCCGCACAGCGCTCATTTGGCTCAAGTGATCGTTTAGCTTGAGGGGGGAGCTACGCTCATTAAACGGATCCACAAATGCCACCAAGGGGGTAACTCTCACTTTCCCAGTAGCTGTGAGGCAGACAAGATTCCATTAAACTTGCGATATGCTAAATGAGCAGCGCATTTCGGTTGAATAATGA